GTTTCTTGTCTGGCAGTGCAATCTTTACACGTAGGCCTGTTTAACTATGTACTCTATAAAAGTGTCTCAACTCCACCTTGATGTGCAGTATCCATTCCTGCCATAGTTTGTATAGACGCATTCCTCCGGAATCGAGAGTGTGCCTTTAAAGTCTTTGTATAAACGCTGGTTACAAAACCAGTTATCAAGTTCTGTTATAAAATATCAGCAAAGAAGAACATAAATAGTAACCCTCCCCCCCGCCAGTCAGTCTGTCACGGGCTGATACTTTGAGCATCCATTCATCCTGGATCTCTCCTCTCTTGCTTTGGACACCATAAGCTGACGGCTGGGTCTGTTCTGGAGCTGCATTTGGAGCATTTAAAAAAAAAGGCAGGTATTTTTTGTACCTTAGCACAGCCTAAATCATAGTCCCATTGCTGTACAAATACATTGTATTTAACAGTCCCTACCCTGAAGCGCTTAGGTGGCAGGGGAATATAATACCTTACAATTAACAAGGTTAGTTCCAGATTCCTTTCATATCAAATATTCTTTCTGATCTGTTGCCACCTACAAAGAAATCAAAAGGAAACTGTGCACTTCCATGATTCAAGACACTGAGGTTATTTCAAATTTCCTGAACTACTAGACAACCTCAGGACCACTTCTCCCCCCCCCCCCCCCAAAAAAAATTGATGAGAGTTACTGTATTTCACCCCAGCACTTTGGATAGCCCCAGCCTTGTGAAAGAGATGCAAGGGTCTGGTTGTAAAGCGGGAGCTTCTGTTTATGCTAACAAAAATGCCTCAGCCATTTATGGCTGGAGCAGACTTGCTAAGTATTTAATAGTATATATTAAATCAATTAACTTAGAAACATCCTATGGAGGCATTTGCTGACATTAAAAGAGAATGCTCTGAGTGCACCAGCTGTTAATTAAGGGACACTGATTCCTCTGATGTACCTTTATGAACTGAAAGCTCTAGACATTAAAATGAACTGTAATGGCCTGTAAGACTATTGACTTTAAATCAACAGCAATGGTGCAAGTGAACCACCTAGGTTGATATTTCAGTAAGCGATTGGTTTCCGTAACCATCTCTTTCATAATTGTCATTGCAAGGCTGGGTGGTATTCAGAGTTGAGCTAAAGCACGGGAACTGGTGCACTGAGCTCCCAGTGACAGCTGTGAAGATGTGAGGCTGTGATAGCTGGTATTCTTTTGGTTGTAATCCAAAATATTTGTGATCGGCAGTGCACAGAAACTTAAAACGCACTCCAAAACCAAGAATTTTATACACCCGCGCAGATGCTCTCAGACATTTCAAACCATATATAGCCCAATAGATGTGTGAGTTGCAGTTGGGGGGACCAATTCACTCTTGCATGGTTAACATGAAATTACAGGATTGCAAAGGAACAAAAATCCTCCACTGTGAGATAATCACAAAACAATCTGGTTACTGCCTATCTGAACGAATGTGGATTAATTTGAAGATTTTGTTCTTTTGACATGGAATCCTTTCCACTGACTTTAGTAGGCTTTGAATCAGGCCCTATAATATTACACTGGTTGAAATGTTCACTTGTTAGATCAGCTGAGCTGTCTGTCTATTCTATGTCTTTAAGTGCCCCAGACCGATTAGAATGACTATTTGATGTGGAGGAAGGTTGGAACTGACCTCACTAATTATAATTTGTTTCTTGGGTAAGGAATGGTGTCCCTCGCCTCTGTTTGTCAGAGGGTGGCGATGGACGGCAGGAGAGAGATCACTTGATCATTACCTGTTAGGTTCACTCCCTCTGGGGCACCTGGCATTGGCCACTGTCGGCAGACAGGATACTGGGCTGGATGGACCTTTGGTCTGACCCAGTCTGGCCATTCTTATGTTCTTGTCCTGCCTTCCTTAGTTCCTCTTAAACGTTCCAAATGTCGCTTAAGAAGTCACCCAGGAGACTTCTCCTTGGAAGCCAGAAGGAAATGATCAGGTGGGGGTGGTTTTGTGGATGATGGATGCACCAGCCCTTGACAGACTAACCCCAGGGAATAAAAGCTATTTTTCTCTTCATGCAGATTTCATAAGAAAAGACTCCAAAATGTTAAGATTAAAGGGATATTGTCCACCCTTTAGGCCAATACGCTTCACTAGAGTTGAGTGCTACAAAACAGTTCCCACCATTTGCGTGAATGTTTATGCAAATTCAGCTGGCTCCCCCGTTTTATTTTATTCTGTCAATTGACCTTAGTGGGAGGAAAGCTGGTGGAAACACTGAATTTATAGTGAATGGTGGAGAATATCTGTGGAATGCTCCTTGGGAATTTAGGGAGGGAATTAACTATGCTGATCCAGTCAGGTAACTGAAATGCTACCATGTGGCCTATGGGACCAGCCGATAATAAATGCAAATCAAATATTTAATATGGGCAACGAGGAGCACCCTCCTGATGTACTGCAGCGTTCTTCAATAATAACTTCTTGAAATAAGTCAAGAAAATTGTAAGCGGAGACAAACTTTGTTGAAAAAATGACTCGCTGCTCTTACAAAGATCAGTTTTATCATGGATCATATCCAACTTGCAAGGCCTCTGCCTTTTCCAACATTTCTGATTGGAAAGGGTAAGTCGTCTCATTACAGAGCTATCCAGCTAGACCATTGGTTCTCAAACTTTTTGTATTGGTGACTCCTTTCATACAGCAAACCTCTGAGTGCAACCCCCCCCCTTATAAATTAAAAATGGGGGTGGGGTAATTTAATTTTAATTTAACAGGGGCTCAGGACTGACATCCCCCCTCTCCCCCGTGCATGGCTGGGCTTGGAGCTATCAGCCCCTGACCCTCACGTAACCACCTCAGTTTGAGAATCCCTGAGCTAGACTTTCCTATTACTGAAAATTGCTATACTAGTCCAAACTGTTGCTGACAAACATGTCTGCTGCTTGAGGAAGATCATGAGAGGAGACTTTGCCTCTAGCACCGTATTCAGTCTAGTTTCTCCACAAGCTTGTAGCTGAAATGGAGCTGCTGGAGTGAGGCGTGGACTGTAAATCCGGAAACTTGGAGGATATAGAATAGAGAGAAACATGGGGGGGGAGTGTGTGTGTGTGTGTGTTAGTTATGCTATAACGGTGCTGATACAAAATAATCATACACAACAGAGGCAACCATTTTCAGATCTTATTTTTGGCTCCCTCTCCTCATGGAGTAGTTTTGCCAAACACATGGACAGCCTCAGACAGATTGGTTCTTTACGTTCTTTCTGCATAATGTATGCACCTACCCCAGATAAGTGAGCCATGCTATAGCGTTTATTCCAATAAGACACAAGCCACTGATTCTGTATCTATCTTCCCCTTTTTTTCCTTTCACACTAGATACGGAGCAGCAGATGTTTGAGCCGTGTGTGGCAGGGAAAGTGACCACAAGATCCTTTGCCTGGCCCTGGCTGTTCTGTTGTTAATTTTTCCATTGTAACAATGATTTTGGTTGCTGAATGTCCATCACATTGTGTGCTGTGGCTCTAGAGTCCAGGCTTCTCTGTTTCCAAAGGTGATCTACAGCATTGACAGTTTCTATTCCTTCTCCCCCACAATTCCTGTTCCTGGTTAATTAGCCAGGTAGGCTTTGCAATAGGTCCCAAGCCATGATGCCTTGGGGAAAAGGCTGGCTGCAGGAACTGAACCCACATGTTTTATCCATGCTGGATTATCCACATGTGGGCGAGTTTATTTGGAGAAATGTAAAAGCTGGATTGACAGGTCCTGCTGATATTTAATTAATGAATTACATTGTAAACTGCAGGGCTAGGAGCGGCAACCCTTGATCTCTTTACTCAGTAGAATTAACAGGCTTCTGGGCAAAAATGTGCTAGATCCAGCAATATCCCGGTGTATTTTTGTCGCTCTTGCACTTGGATGTGTTGGAGTTTGGATTTTTCTGGCCAGGTCGGAACACCAACCAGTGCCCAGTTTTGGAATCTGGGAGCCAAATAATAATGATGATAATAATAATTTTAAAAAAGGTAAGATCCTGCAGACCCCACCACACTCGTGTTTTTGTGGTGCTGCCCCAGTTTGCAACAGGAGCTGGGTTTTTTGGTTGCACTAGGACCCGAGATTTCCCCCTCTGTTTAGACAGTAGAATTTAGGGGGCGGGGGAAAGGGTGGTTAAGATTAAAAATAGGTCCCGGGTACCAACTACCTGGGCCAGGATGCAGGGAGTCCAGTTTTTTACAGTGAAGTAGCTGTGGCTACACATTTCCTATTTAGATTGTACAAAGTGGGGCTTGGGGCCAAAGATTCCAGTTAGAGGCAGGGGCCGGGTCCAGGTTTTGATGGGCACTGGTGCACCCCACTCGGGAGTGTTTTGGTGCACTCGGCGGGAGGCGTGTTCACTGTTTAGGAACTAGCATTTGGTAGCTCGGGGGCCAAACGTGGCTGGATCCAGGAGCAATCCACGTGCTGGGGCCGGGTTTCTGCGGCACGTGTGCTGGGGGGGGGGGGTACATCGGGGTCTGAGTTAATATCGGTCCAGCAAGAGCACCCAGCCTTGCTCTCCGTCGGTGCCATTGGAGCCCGGGTGGGGCAAAAATGAGCAGGATCCGCCAGGCTCCAGCTCGATCCGGCTTTTACCTTTTTCCAGTTCGTTCACATCACACACCACTAGCTCGCCAGCCTCGACGGGCTGTGTGTGAGAGCGAACAGAGCGATCCTCGCCCTGCTTCATCCCCATTAGTGCGGCTCGCATCTGGGGAGCGGGAGCAGCCTTGGGAACCAGACGCAGGCGGGCGGGGGAGAGAGAGAGCCAAGCGCAGCCCCTTGTGCCGCCGGATTTTGTGAATCGAGCTGGGCGGGCTCTCGCTCCCCCTCCGGGCGCCGCCTTCTCCGGCGCATTTAAACGAGCCAAGTTTCCACTCCGCTTCTTAGTGGCAGCGTTCCACCCTCGCAGCCTGGCGGAGCGCTGGGGACCACGCGGGGCAGCCTCCTTCGCCAAGCATCCCTCGGCCGCCCGGCTCCTGACCATGCCCCTGAACGCAACTTCTTCGTGGCAGCAGCCCCCGAGCCCGTTTCACCTGCAGCCCACGGGCGATGCGGCTGGGAACGTCTCCAACAGCTCGGATCTGTACTCCCAAGGGCCGGACGAGGAAGATCTGGATGTGAACACCGACATCTACTCCAAAGTCATGGTCACGGTCATCTACCTGGCTCTCTTCCTGGTGGGCACCGTCGGCAACTCCATCACCGCCTACACCCTGGTGCGCAAGAAGTCCCTGCAGAACCTGCAGAGCACGGTGCACTACCACCTGGCCAGCCTGGCTTTCTCTGACCTGCTCATCTTCCTCCTGTGCATGCCCATCGAGCTGTACAACTTCATCTGGGTGCACCACCCCTGGGCCTTCGGGGACGCCGTCTGCAAAGGCTACTACTTCCTGAGGGATGCCTGCACCTACGCCACTGCCCTCAACATCGCCAGCCTCAGCGTGGAGAGGTACATGGCCATCTGCCACCCCTTCAAAGCCAAGAGCATCATGTCCAGGAGCAGGACCAAGAAGTTCATCAGCTGCATCTGGGTGGCCTCTTTCCTGCTGGCCATCCCCATGATCTTCACCATGGGCGAGATCTATGGCAGGGACCAGCAGCCGGACTCTCTGATCTGTACCACCATTGTGGAAGCCTCCACGCTTAAGACTGTCATTCAGGTGAGTTTTCCTGCGTTCCTTTGTGTTCATGCTGGGACCTGACTGCATGTAGCTACACTGGAGATCAGTGGTCAGTGAGGTGCTTTGATTGATTGATTGACTTTTTTTTTTAACCTAGCACCTGCTGGCTTTCCTAGAGAACAACAGCTGACAGCAGCTCTGTAGACTAGAGCATGGTCACTCATTGATCTCCTTTGGACCTGGCTGTGTTGCAAGCCAGTGCTCTAGCTCAGTGGTTTTCAGTCTCTCCAGACCACTGTACCCCTTTTTAGGAGTCTGATTTATCTTGCCTCCCCCCAAGTTTCACCTCACTTAAAAACTACTTGCTGACAAAATCAGACATAAAAATACAAAGGTGTCAGAGCGCACTAGCACTGAACAAGTGCTGACTTTCTCATTTTTACCAGATAATTATAAAATAAATTGATTGGAATATAAATATTGTACTTACATTTCAGTGTGATACTTGAGCCTGTTTTTTCATTTGTGAACCTTGTCTGAAGCATGTAACTTAGCTTCGCAGGGCCCCTTGTGGTGTGGGACCCCAGGTAATTGCCATGCTTGACACCCCGTAATGCTGGCTCTGCACTTGTGATCCCCCTAAATCCATCCCATGACTATCTGGGGGTTGCAGCCCTCAGGTTGAGGAACACTGATCTAGATGAGTTGAGTACCCCTTGGACAGGGCCGGCTCCAGGCACCAGCCCACCAAGCATGTGCTTGGGGCGGCACCTGGAGGGGGGCGGCGCGGTGCGGCGCTCCGGCCCGAGAGCGGGGCCGCGACTGGGCTCGCCACCCTCCCCATGGCGCTCGGGCCGCCGGGGAGAGCAGAGCCGCAGCGGGCTCGCCGCCCTCCTCCCGGCGCTCCGGCCGCCAGTGGAGCCCCAGCCGGGCTCGCCGCCCTCCCCCCGGCGCTCTGGCCGCCGGGGAGAGCGGAGCCCCGGCCGGGCTCTCCGCCCTCCTCCCGGCGCTCCGGCCGGTCGGGGAGAGCGGGCCCGCGGCCGGGCTCGGCGCCCTCCCCTGCCGCGCTCCCTGCCGGGGGCGGGGGGGCGGCGGGAGGCTTTTTTGCCTGGGGAGGCAAAAAAGCCAGAGCCGGCCCTGCCCTTGGAAGATCTCTTCATACTCCCAGGGGTACACATACCCCGGGTTGAGAACCACTGTTCTAGCTGACATCATAAACCGGCAAAACTTTGTAGATGTGCTTTGCGCAAGCCTCAGCATTAGTCACCCTTTGCACTTGTACGACTGAGGGTAAGTCCCGTGAAATGGTCTCTGGAGAGCAGAAGGTGGTGGTGTTCCAGGTGAACATGTGCTTACTTTTATTGCAAGCTGCTGCCTGGCCAAAGAGGGAGGCGGGGTGGGAGGAGGAGAAGAATTGACATACTGATCCCTTTCCAGACAAACGCATCCATCCATCCTGTGCAATTTTTGTGCATAAAAGAAGCAAAGGTCTTTTCTGATCTGTCTTGGGGCTTGATTCTGATCTTGCACTGGTGTGAATGAGAAGTAACTCCACTGAAGCCGATGGAATTATATCCAGGCAAATTCCAGGTGTTAGTGAGTTCAGAATAATGTCCAACATCTGCTTCAGCCGAACTAGCATCTCTCCACTGCACTTCAGCAAGTAGCAGAAATGGTTTCTAAAGTAGACACTGGTGACTTGGCTCTCTGTAAATTCAGGGGAAAACAAGGCCAGTTCCCCATTTTAATAATGTCTCCAGTGCTCAATGCTGTTGGGGCCGGACCCTCAGTTGGTGTAAACTGGCAAAACTCCATTGGATGAGGACTTGGACTCGTGTGTCTTGTATGTTACTGTTTTCACTTTACAGCAGCAGTTAACCACTGGAATAAATACAATCCCACCCTTTGACTCTGACTTTTCTGAATTCTGTATATTTCTCTTGCACCTGCTCTTAACTTGTCATGGTATCAAGGAAACATAGATTTCCTTTCTTCCAATCTTCAAATTACATTTCTCTGCTGATATCATTGTATTTCCTCCCTATGGCAACAGAACATAATTTCACAAAGTTATGGCTCATGTCACAATACAAACATTAAAAATGAACTAACTTGCAAGGCAAAGAGCTGCTGTTTAAGCACAAATCGTTACTTGGAATAATGCAGAGTAGCTCCTTCAACTTCAGAGGAGCTCTGCCGCTTTACACAAACTGAAGATCGAACACTATATAGTGTGTGGAACGGAATGCAGGATAACAGTTTTAGTCAGTGTTCTGTTTTCTTATGCACATTTTACTTTTACCTTTTGATGGAATTTCTAACTCTTCAAGGATATTTATGTACTGGAGCAATAGGCTTGAAAATGTAAGAAAACTGGACATGAACTGGAAGAAAAGAGAAATCAGCCAATGTCGTTTTTTCTGTTGACGCCAGTCTCAGATCTGAGAACTTTTCAGGGTCTTGTCTTCTAGACATGAGTTTTCAGAGGGGTGGGAGTTAATCTCTAGCCAATTAGAGTTTAAAAGAGTATATAACAGTGTGTACACTAAATCTTTTCTTTTTAAATACTCCTCAGACTAGTTCGTAGAGAGGGAATTATATTCAGTTAAACGGAAGCAAATCAGCACCTTTTTTCCGATGAAGAGGGCTGAGATATGTGTGCTGAGAAGAAGACAGAGTATAGTACCTAACTTTCAACTTCAGATCAAGCAGCTATCCTTAATGGGAGACCAGTGCAATTGAAGTCCAGATATCTTGTATTTCAAATCATCTTCTGTTTAGGATTAAAAATGACATCCAATGGCTGGCTGTGGGGCTGAGGAGGTGGGTTTATCTCCTAATATGCATCTTCAGAGATTATAGATGACATACATTTCTAAGCAACTTTAATCATCATTGTTTAATATAGATCTCAGTGCTGTGGAATATCAGTGTTGTATTATTTCAAACATGAAAGTGCAGGGGCATTAATTTATTACACAACAGGAAATGCATCACTTTGTGTGCTCTAACTGACCAGTGTAGAAAAACGTACATTTTGTTTTGGGGGTTTCTAATTTCACTTGTGCACTAATTGAAAAAAACTAAGAGTACATAATGGTAACTTGTAATGTAAAACAGCAGCGGGCTTGGTATTCATTTATGTAGCACAGCAGCTTTCCCTATCTGGAGACCTAGATTTAAATGCTGATTTGCTCATGCGAGATGCTGGTTTAATGGCTGTTTAGTTCCTTTTAAACATATGATAAAGCACCACGCAGTTCTTCGCTCTATGAAGCTAGTACGGGGGGGTGGGCGGAAACAGGACTGAACAAGTAGAGATATTGCAAGTCAGGCTTGAAGTGCATTAATCAAGTTGAGTGGCACAGTGTGTGACAATGCATTCTCTCACAACATACAAGTCTGTGGCCTTGGGCAAGCCAATTAACTGCGAATCAGTTTTCCACACGTAAAATGGAAATAATGATATTGCACTTATCAGAGCTGGGTAAATACTGTTAAATAAATCACTTTTCCTGTTGGCAGGTTGTCTGCAAGCAGGTTATGATTTTCTTGAACTTGTTCATGATTCAATTAATTCTAAAGTATTACTTGTAAATAGTTTTTTGTTTTGTATCTGGCTTGCAAGCAGTTAATTGAAACTGTTCCATAGTCAGAAACCAGTTTAAGCTGTGGTGAATATCTTTGATTGGACACATAGGTACACGGGATTGCTTCTGTTGCCCGATTGGATGAACATACCTCTTAGAATCAATTTCTGGTGTGAATATTGGTATGTATTTAAAATCTGCTTTCTGCAAATGTTTGTCAATATTTGCTTAAAATTTGCAGTTTTTGGCAAAGATTCCCACAATTAAATTAGAATATTCATGAACATAATGAAATGGCTGGAGACGGGACACTAGATGGAGAGGGCTCTTGAGTTGCTGCAGAGAATTCTTTCCCAGGTATCTGCCTGGTGGGTCTTGCCCACATGCTCAGAGTCTTACTGATCGCCATATTTGAGGTCAGGAAGGAATTTTCCCCGATGTCAGATTGGCAGAGACCCTGGGGCTTTTTTTGCCTTCCTTTGCAGCATGGAGCACGGGTCATATGCAGGTTTAAACTAGTGTAAATGGTGAATTCTCTGTAACTTGAAGTCTTTAAACCATGATTCGAGGACTTCAGTAATTCAGCCAGAGGTTAGGTGTCTATTACAGGAGTGGATGGGGGATGTTCCGTGGTTTGCAAGGTGCAGGAGATCACACTAGATGATCACGGTGGTCCCTTCAGACCTTAAAGTCTGTGAGTCTATAAATTGAACCAATATTCATGGCAGGTCTTTAGCATATGCCCTATGCTTTAACACTTCTTAATTAAGAAGGCTTTACTGAACATTAATTAGTTAATCTTTTGATAGTAATTCAAAAATGCTCTTTAAGTTCTAAGGAATAATAAATGCAGTAAAAGTAATACATTAGATAAACTAACTGGTATAACTGTGGGCGGGGAGGTTGAACTAACAGTAATGCAGGACTTTAAACTCCTTGCCGCATCATGCCTTGAAGGGGTTAGCTCTGGAGAGCCTTTGATGTTTAATCTTACAGAATAGTGATGTTTCTCAGTTTTGTATGTCACCATCTTTGCAGCTGCTTATGCTTATACTCTCTCGTGTATCTTCATTGACCAGCCTTCAGTCTATTTGTCAATCCAGTGCATCTGGCTTGCATTTTGGCCTCAGTCTTGAATTTGGCAACAGGCATTAAGTACATTGGAACTACATTATTTAAGTCTGTTTAATACTTTAACCGAAAGCCATCCTCTAACTGAAACTGCAGCCAATTGTTCACATAAACTAAAGCACCTCTCAAAACCATTTCCACGCAGGCAAATTAATGTTTGGATGCCACTTCAGCTGGAGTAGGGTTTTAAAGCTACTCACTGCGGTGGTAACAGGAAGAAGAGTTTTTGAGTGAGATGTTTGGTCTGCTCATTTTGCATGTTAATACCCAGAATGCATTTGGCTATTTCATGGAACTGCTATTGTCCACGGGTCTGAC